CCAAATAATCCAATTAAAAAATGGGGTACAGAACTAAATAGACAATTCTCAATAGAGAAATCTAAAATGGCTGAAAGACACATAAGAAAGTGTTCAACATCCTTAGCCATCAGGGAAATGCAAATCAAAACAACTCTGAGATACCATATTACTCCTGTCAGAATGGCCAAAATCAAAAACACCAATGACAGTTTATGCTGGAGAGGATGTGGAGAAAGGGAAACACTTCTCCACTCCTGGTGGGAGTGCCAACTTGTACAGCCACTTTGGAAATCAGTATGGTGACTTCTCAAGAAAATGGGAATGAGTCTACCACAAGATCCAGCAATTCCACTCCTAGGCATATACCCAAAAGAAGCACATTCATACAACAAGGACATCTGTTCAACCATGTTCATAGCAGCACTGTTTGTAATAGCCAGAAACTGGAAGCAGCCTAGATGCCCCTCAACTGAAGAATGGATAGAGAAAATGTGGTACATTTACACAATGGAGTACTACTCAGCAGAATAAAACAATGGAATCTTGAAATTTGCAGGAAAATGGATGGAACTCGAAGAAACCATTCTGAGCGAGGTAACCCAATCACAAAAAGACAAACATGGTATGTATTCACTCATATGGGGATTTTAGACATAGAGTAAAGGATTACCAGCCTACAATCCACACTGCCAGAGAAGTTAGTAAACAAGGAGGACCCTTAGAGTGACATACATGGTCCCCTGGAAAAGGGGAAAGGGTCAAGATCCCCTGAGCAAGTTGGGAGGACAGGAAGAGGGGGGAGGGAGCTAGGAGAATGAGAAGGGAAGAAGAGGAGGGATGCAGAGGTCATGAGGGAGCAGAAAGGTTGAGTCAGGGGAAGAATAGAAGCAAGGCTAAGTGATAGGTAGGGTTTTAGTTGGGGGGGTGGTAGGGGAGGACAGGAGGGAGAAGGGAACTGGGATTGTCATGTAAAACAATATTGTTTCTAATTCAAATAAAAAATCTGCAAAAAAATACAAAATAAAGTACAAATCCCACTGCACATCTAATGGAGTGACTACTAGCTAAGGGATGAATCTAGCATTGGTCAGGATATAGAAAATGGAGCATCCATTTGCATGGTCCTGGAGAAGATGTAAATTACTATAGCCATTTTGGAAAATTGTATGCAGGTGTCTTCAAATTCAAAGACAAATAAAAAGCAAGGTATGGTAGAACATCCTTTTAATTCCAGCACTTGGAAGGCAGAGACATATAGATCTCTATGTGTGGAGGGCCATGGGACTCTGCAGCAGTGACAACTGGTTTTGGATAAGTCAACCCACTAGACATTGTTGGAGAGTCCTACTTGGCAAAGTCACTCCCCAGCTGGCAAAGCCGTGGGGTTATTGGCTGTGAATGACTAGTTGTTTTCTGTCTGTAGCTTTCTTGGTACCATTGTTATGCCTCCCTGATAATAATGGCTGAGAGGTTCTTTCCACGGCCCTTTGGCAGTGTGTTTTATATTTGTTGGGCACATATATAGTTGTGGATGGCCAGAACATGATTTTCTGCTTAAGTTGTATAATCCTGATGAACATGAATAATACTGTTTTACATTGCTCAGATTGACATGGGATCCTTAGTCACAGAGACAGCCTTTTAGAAAAATAATCTAACTTTAGACTTCAGAGCAAATTCAAAGCAGGCTGGTTTCTCCTGGAGACAATATCTGGTTGCCCCTAGAGACAAATACACAAGGTCATTTTCACAAGTGTTTTGCTGAAGTCAAGGCCAGAGTTTGAAGCACCTTTAGTCTGCACATAGTCCCCAACCTCAAGGCCTGCCTGTTGATTATTGTCAGGGAAGTCCCACCAACTTAGAGCTTCATGCCAGGCCGCTTGCTCACTGGCTGGTCGTTATGATTTTGCTAGCCTGAGAGAAACTATGTGAGTTGTCTTGGCTTTTGAGTAAGGGTTGTGCCCTGAAAAATAACTGATTATTGTCCAGAGTTTGTCTGTGAGAGGTAAGAGAAGCAAAAAAGGCAGCAGAGAGAGACAGAAGGGAGGAAGCAGACAGAGAGCAGAGTGAGGAGCACAGGCAGCACAGGCAGCACAGGCCTGAGGACGGAGAGGGAGAGGCAGCAGAGCAGGAGCAGCGGCGCTGAGAAAAGGCTGCTGTATGAGAGACAAGTGTGAGAGGATGAATGAGTGAGCACAAGTGAGCAAAGAATGAATGAATGATCTAGAAGTGTGTGTGTGAGAGAGAGGGCTGTGTGGGAGAGCTGGTGCAGCATAGAGAAGCTAACTGTAACCGAATATAGAAACATGTAACTGGGCAGGAGAGAGATGTGTGTATGTAGAGACTGTCAAGACAGAGAGACCATTTAAGTTGAAGTAAAAGAGAAGGTTGGCATCAGGAAAATGTGTGCTTGCTCCTTTTTCCTTAGGTTACCAGCAGAAAAAGTGTGCTTCTTTGTTTTTCACCTCAGAAAAATCTAGTAACCCTCATATAAGAATCTTCCCAAGGACTCTGAGGATTTCTATTTATTACCCTGGTTGTGCCTTTGGGTCTGAACCCTGCAAGTCAACATCATGTATAAGTTTTAGGCTAGCCTGCTCTACATAGAGAGTTCTAGGCCAGAGAGGGCTACATAGTGAGATCCTGTCTCAAAAAAGAATAGAATCACTCACTGTTCACACACAAAAAACAGGGGTTAAAAATAGAAATCCAACAGCTAAAACATCCTCTTTAATCCTAGCAATGCTGTTTAAAGATAAAAGACTTGTGAACAGAAACAGACAAAAGATTTACAGTAAAGACAGATTCAAAAGTAAAACCACTAAAGGGTTTACAGTGTGTTTAAAAATATACGTAGGCTTGGAAGAGAAAAGAAAAAGGATAAAGTGGTTAAAAAGAAAAAGAGTAGCTGGGCGGTGGTGGCTCATGACTTTGATCCCAGCACCTGGAGGGCAGAAGCAAACAAATCTCTGTGACTTCAAGGCCAGCCTGGTGTACAGAGTAAATTCCAGGACAGGCAAAAGTACACAGAGAAACCCTGTCTCAAAACATGAAAAAAATAGAAGTAAAAGAAATAGAGTAATAAAAAAGTCACATAAAGATGGAAAATACACAGAGTCTGGATACTGTATGCTATTGTGTTGTCTTTGAATTGTTCAATTGCTATGGAAGGAGCAACAACTGCTAAAAGACATTTGATTATAAATGCTACTGGATTAATCCAACTTATATATTTTGAAAATGCTTTGAATTCAAAATTTAAATCTAAGGACAGGTTACTTTGGAAAAAAATTTTGCACAGGCATAAGGAGCTCAGTTCTGACCCCAAGAACCCACATAAAAAGCTGGAAATGGGTGCACACGTGTGTAACCCCAGCAGTTCATGGACAGAGACAGGCAGATCCTGAGCACTCCTTGGCCAGCCAGCCTAGGCTGACTGGAAAACTTTTGGTTCAATAAATAAACTCTGATAAAGGTGCTTAGCAAAATGTGACAGAGGAAGACACTGGATGTCACGCTATGTCCTCCAAATGCACACACAAAGGAGCACACCTGCACACATGTGCACACACATATCACATTATAATTTTAATAGCACCAGGAGGCAACAAGTGGCTGTGATGTGTGAATGTACTCTGGTCAAGCACTGACGCTAATTACCCCCACATTGCACACCTGTGCACACTCTGCATGTTACCCCCACATTGCACCCCAGGTGCACACTCGGCATGTTACACACACATTGCACACCTGTGCACACTCAGCATGTTACTCACACTTTGCTCCCCTGTGCACACTCTGCATGTTACACACACACATTGCACACCTCTGCACACTCTGATATCCTATACATTATAAGTAAGTGGTTTCTGTTACCACTTCACAGATTTCAAAAAAAAAATTATTTTTAGGAGGTAAAGTCACGTTTTCAAATGTCAATACTGTTCGATTCATACTGTAACTTTAAACTTCCCAAACCATAAACCCTCCCATTTCATTCCATGAATGTAGAAGGAAGCCTCTTCTCCAAACCTTCCCTTATTGACCCTTGCCACACCCTTCCCCTCAGTGATTCACAGAGGCAGGGTGTGCTTAGAGACATAAACGCGTTTATTTATTTGCTCTCTGATGGTATTGCCTTAAAGACTCCTGAATGCTGAGCATGTACCAAAGGGAGCTGTTGGTGGCAGAAGCAAACCCTCTCCACTGGATCCAAGATGGGAGCTGGGGAACCTGAGAGCAGAGGAGGAGGTTCCAGAGCACACACAGCACGGTTCAGAGCTGCCTGAAATGCCAGGGATCAGGCTACAAGAGAAAATAAGATAAGACCTTCAACATAGAAGCCAAACAAATCATTTCCCTCTGGTCCTCCATAAGGAAGTCAGCTGAGAGAGGTCAAACAACAAAGCAGGACTGGAGGTGAGAGGATTGTGGATTTCAGGAGAAAAGTTCAAGTCTCACGTTCATTGTAAAATTCAAAACTCAGAGCATTGAACTAGACATCCCTCTAATTATATCTACGCTTTGTGCTTTAACCCTAGACACGACAAAGCAAATAACTTGGACAATGAATAATGCATACAGTGCCTTACAAAACATTTTCAAATTCAGCATTTCCATTCTGTAGATAGAGACTCAGAAAGTCATTCACCCATGGCCCTTATCCAGACACACTGTGTAGATTCAAAACCACAGACAATCCTATGTGTTTGCCCTAAGAAATAGGGGACAGCGCCCTTAAAGGACAAGCCAGACAGAGGCTGTTGGTTACAGTCTCCCTGCCATAAGCCCTGACCTCCAGAGCCTTGAAGCTGAAAAGGTCTGAAAAGCAATGAGTCTGTCCACCCCAGCTGACTCCTTACCTTACTGTGGGAGAAGGCAGAGTTTCCCACACATGCCCAGGCAACACTTATAGTTGCCAGCACACTCGCCATCCCTCTTACACCTATTGGGAGGATTCAGCATCAAACATTGTCCTTGAATCTTTGGGCACTTGCCAGGCTTCGACCTCACTGGTGACAGAAGAAGCACAGGTCAGATGTCTTAGACTTCAGCCACCACATCACTGCTTCTTTAACCCACCTTCTTCAGCCTGAGCAAGGAAAATCACCCCCATTTACCCCTCACCTCAATCACCTACTCCCAGATATGTCCCCTGAAACAACACCTGGTTCCCCTCTAACATCTGCCTCCAGACAATGCAGGTGGCCGGCTGTCTGGTACTGAAAGGGTTGACGGCTTCCATCAAGCTGAATGCCCAGATGATTCTTTGCAAAACCATTACAGAATGGCTGCCTCAGACAAGAGGCTTTTCCTGCTGATGGCAGCATGATGCCTTGACTGATGCCATGTTGGATTCAACCACTCTTAGAAGCAAGCATGCCTAGGAGGACCCCTTCCCGAAATCCCATCCCCTTCAGTGCTAGGTCTTGAGGTTCATTCCTCTGCTCCTGGGTCCTCTGCTGGCTCACCTGCAGTGCGGATGGGAAGAGGATCAATGCATTTGAAACCACACCTAAATTGGCAGCACCTCTTATTTCCCGGGCATTGCCAGTCAGAATCACACTCTGGTTTCTCCTTCCTCAGGCAGTTGACAGGCCTTCTAGAAGGGCAGGCACCACTTTTGATAGCATCTAAAGAGGATGTCATGATGTTAGGAGAGCATGGAACAACTATCACAATTCATAGACAAAGGACCACTTTCCAAACTGTAAATCCTCATCCCAGTAGCCCACAACTACAAAGGGGATTAACTGCAGAAGAAAGCAAAAGGAACAAACAAATATGACAGGCTTGGTCAAACCAGACATGTAAACAGGAAAAACATCACAGACTGAGGACAAAAGGCACAGGGTTCCCAATCAAGTTTTTCCACCTCATGGCTAAGCTAGATTACCAAGGACAGAAGGGGAGAGAGGGAGGGAAGGGGACAAGAGAAATAAACAGGAAGGGCACTGAGCTGGGAGATGTTGAGAACTAAAGCCAGAGGCAGACACAGCAAGGACAGGAACAGAGAGAGAGTGAGGCCTGGGTTGACAGGGTGGTTTAATAATCAAGGGAGCATTCTTCCATGCCTTGAAGCCTCATAGGAACCTCTGACCCCAGCAAGACATGGATGCCACCAGGAAGTCCTGAGTAAGCTGAGGACAGCCTAGAGAAAGGAAGACACCAAAACCACCAGGAACCCTCACCTCTGACATTCTAGGCCAAAATAACCCCAACTCACCATTTTTGCCTCCTTCCACAGTCCAGGATGCCAGGATCCCCAGAGCAAGGAGCACCATGAAAGGGAAGAAGGTACTGGACTTCATGGTGAAGGCAGAGTGGCTCTGATGAGCAGTCCCAAGCATCACTATTTGTATCTTTACCAGAGGGTGTGGCTGCAGTGGGGTGTATTTGGCCCCTCCCACATGCTATTGCATAGTCAGGAAGCTTTAGACAGAGCACAGCAGTCTTGATACTACAGAAGTAGATGGTAGACTTTCTGCTTCAGACAGGACCATGAGGCCAGCAGAGTAACTACCAGAGAGTTGAAAATGAAAGAAGTAGTTTGGAAGTTGTCCTCAGAGGGACATTCAGAGGGACATGTCCACCTGTGCCCTGAGCATTGTGAAATCTGAAACCCTATAGCCCTTACTGGTAGAGAAGAGTAGTAAGGGTCAGTCACAAAAGGGCCACCAGGACCTGATGCTGAAACATAGGAAGTGAACTCTCAGCTGAGACTGCAATGTGCCTCTATTTCTCAAGTTCCTGGACTTTCTGGGATTTTGAAATTCTAAGCTATTGCTCAATGCAAATTTCTTCTCAAAATACAGATGACGCATGGTTCAACCAATTGACATTTATCTCTGCCAAATGATTTGCACCGCTGTTTTCCCAGTGCCTATTTCATGACTGAAACACAGAATACAATCTCTAAATAAATGAAGGTTGTACGCAGAAGGGCATTGGCCCTCAGCAAATCTCTTTGGAGATCAGTTTCCTAGGCATGAAATGACTTAGGACTGGTCCTGAGATTAAGAGTTTGAAATCACACTTAATTAATGAACTGCATCCCTGGCTACAAGTGACCATTGAGATGGATTGGAGCAAAGGGATAAATTCTCTCACTCGTCACTGTAATCAGCACTGAGCTATGGTATCATTTCTGTTGTTAAAGGAATTCTTTCTATCTCTAAATCCACTATGGGCATCAAATGTCAGAAAAAATTATGGCTGCTGTGTGTTCAGCCCATTGTGTGTAAAATCCAGTGTGTCCAAATTGAGTCTAATTCTTAAGAGAGCCACCCTTCTCTGTACAATTCAACCCAATCTTCCCTACCTGCAAAGTTCGAGTCTTGCCTCAACATCATATGATCTTGTTTTTAAATTTCATACATGTTGGTTTGTAAATACGTGTGTGTGTGTGTGTGTGTGTGTGTGTGTGTATGGTTACCCTCCTCCCTCTACTTCCTCCAATGTTTTCCCTACCCTGAACTCCCTCTCAAACTTGGCTTCTTTTTCTTTATTGGGAGTAGGGGATCAAAACAGCTAGCTCTAGCTGTCCTGGAACTCACCCTGTAAACCAGGATGACCTTGAACTCCAAGAGATCTGCCTGCCTCTGCCTCTTGAGTGCTTGAATAAAGGTGTGTACCACCAACAGATGGTATTGGCCTCTTGTTCTTTAATTATTACTGTTCTGTGTGTATATGAATAGATATATTATTACAACCTGCCAACTACATTTAGTGTTGTTCATGTGCACACATTTTATGGGTGACCACTTAATATTGCATAGCCAGCTAGGTGGCTCACCCATGAGGAAAACTTCATCTCTCATTAATTTCCTGCATCTCATCATCTGGGTGGGGACCCTATAAGATTTCCTCCCTTCCACAGTGGCATGTCAACTGGTGTTTTCATGGTTCAGGTCTTATATAGGCAGCCATACCCTTGAGGTTTCATGGTCCCTGGAGTTTTCCTATTCATTCCTCCAAGGAAGTTTGTAGAAAATCAGAGAGACATGAAAAGGCTGTGCATTAGGTGTTGGGCTCCACAAAATATTCTCTAATCTAGGAGCCAACTGTTAGCAGATCCTTTTATGCAGAAATTATTCTGTGGGTTAAAGTTTGGTGCCAAAGCAAAGAGGAGAAGGTTAGCATGCACTGAGCGACTACAGAGACGTGTGAGCTCCTAACTAGGAAATTGGCAAGACTGTAAGAGAGAAATGGAAGACCTGGCTTCCAGTGGTGGGCACTCTTTCAGCTGTTGGGGGTTTGTTCTTGCTTCCTCCCACACACCCCCTGTGCTTCCTATTCTCTGTTTCCTCCTATCTTCCTCAGTGCCAAGAGACTTTCCAGAATTTTCACAGTATTTGTTTCTTGAAGAGTCAAAATGAGAATTCTACAGCTAGACCTATCTGTTTGTGACTAGTGATAGATTGTATGACTATTTGAAACCAACTCTTCCCATAAGAAAGAAATCTGCAATCAATCAACCATGTTTTTATGGTAACTCAAGCAGGATAATGATGCATGATAATTCCTATTTTCAACTTAATGAATTTTAAATCTTTAAACAACACAACTTTAGGTTTAAAAACAACCTCTGACGTTATCTAGAGGATAACCAACGATCTGCTACTACAAATCCTGAGCAAAATCCAGCATGTTATTTTGTTTGTTTGTTTGTTTTAGATTTACTTATCTTAATATCATGGGTGTTTTGTCTGCTTGTATATCTGTGCACTGCTTGTGTGCCTAGTATGTGAGGGTGCCTGAAGAGGGCAGCAGATCCCCTGGACCTGGAGTTTCTGACTCCAGTTTCAGTTGTGAGCCACTGTGTGGATGCTGGGGATGAAACCTGGGTCTTCTGGAAGAGCAGCCAATGCTCTTACCTGCTGAGCCACCTCTCCAGCCTTAAGCAGCCTAATATATTTGATTATTGGAACATAGCCATAAACTCATTGTCATAATAACGTCATAATAAAACTCATAAACTAATAGATTTTTTATAGCTATTAGTCTCCTACAATGACAGTGTAAAGTAGGTGCATCAGACAGTGAAATATTTACTACAAAATCTACAATACCCAATGTTTGGTACTTCACAGAAAATGCTTTCTGGCCTCTGATTCGGGCCAAACTCTCAGCTTGTAGTAAAAGAAACAAGAGAGTATACAAGACCCACGTTACATAATGAGTTAATTCTAGAACTTAAGACAGCTTCTCTAAATCAGTTGAGTCATACCTAAAACCTGTTTGGTTATGGACACATCCTCTTATACTCCTATCTGAGCCTATGATTTATTCACTAAATTGACTTCACGCACTCTCTTGGCATCTATTAAACTCTATGTATCTATTCATTCAGTCACACAAAAATATCTTAACAATTGCTCACCACATGCCAGGTTTTGTGCTAGATCTGAGGTAACATTGAAAAAGACACATTGGGCAATACCTCACAGTCATCGAGAGTGAGACATACCTGAAATGAAAAATGACTGGACCTTTCTTGGCTCCTGTTACTCAGCTGTGAATGGGAACGTTGCTTTTCTCCTGTGTGGGATAGAGGTGATGAGAAGTAACTGGAAAACCAACAGCAGTAGACAATGTTTTACACTGAGAGTCTACAGACACTGGACGCACAGGGAACTTATCAGTTTCTAAGTAGAGACACAACACCCGGGCGTGGACTTTGCGGCTCTAGTCCATCTTGCTCTGACCTTAGATGCTTGAGCACATCTGTTTCCATCAATGCTCTGGTTCTGTCTCTCTGGAGAACCCTGAACATACATTTCCTAGTAGCACTTCTTCAGTGCTGTTTATGTATCTGTCATTACTCATGAGCACATTATCTTTTGGGCCTCAGCACACTGGCCTCAAAAGAATAATCCCAGGGTCACTAGTTTGGTTCTTCCTTGTGGTCCATCCGTGTCATGACAGGAAGAGGAACCGGAAGCATGTGGTGGCTAGAGCAGTAGGAGAACATTTGAGGCCTTCCATCTTCTGTGAGTGTCCACATGCCTTTGGGGGAGCAACCTTAAATGTGGTCTTCAACTTCTTGGTAGATCTGGGGAATGTGACACAACCTGCAATCCTGCACTCTGGAAGGGTGACAGTGTCTTGGAGGTCAGCCTCGGTTTTATAACAAGACTCTGGATCCCAGAAATAAATAATCCAGGTAGCTCACAGTTATAATCTCAACACTTGGGAGCCTGAGGCAGGAAAATCACCAAGAGTTGACCAGTAACCAGCTACAAAATCAGTTTCAGGTCAGGCCTACAGCTTGAAACTGTCTCAATAAAAACACAAACCAAAATAGAAAACTAAAGAAAAAAATGTAATTTCAATACTTTCAGTAACACCTTATTTTTCTGAACAGAGTATCCCACATTTTCATTTTACACTGGGTGTTGTTGTTGCAAATTGTGAACACATTGCAAGGGCTTATGGATAAAGAAATGCAATTCATTCCCATAGGAAATGCCCATGCCTCATCCACCACAGCTCAAGACTGACCCTGACATGTCAATTGCAGACAAAACATAGGACTACCAGTGAAGAGAACATGGAAAACAAAAACTGAATGAGTAAACTCTGGAACAAACTAGAAGCCTCCTACAGAATCATCTGCCCAAATCAGTAGAGTCCTCCTCCTTTTGCCTGGATCCCAGGAAGTTATCTGTCAATGTGTAAGAGTGATTCTGTGTGTGTGTGTGTGTGTGTGTGTGTGTGTGTGTGTGTGGTTTTTTAAAACGATGATTAGAAAGCCCTGTGAATTACAGTGCCGTGGTGGTTTGGGAAGCCCTGAGTAGAAGGCAGAAGTAGCCAGACCCACCCACAAGGAAGTTGTTGAAGGGGTGACCACCCTGGTGCCAGCACAGGATGCCAGAGATGAAGATACAGTAGAGAGCAGGATAAAGGCTGCACTGGACTCAGCAGGTCTCAGAGCAAGTTCTGCCCCAAAGGCACTGGCAGTCCCGGTTCATTTCAGACACTGGAAGGGAACATGAAGTTTTAAGGAACTGTATGTAGTAGTTCTCTCAGTTAAATCCAGATAAACTGACTTATCTTTATAGATGAAGTTACACCTCAGAAGTTTAACCACTCCCAGTATGTCCAGTGTGAAGAGTGGAATGTCAACAGGGTAACTGCAAATCAAAACTCTTTTCAAAATGAAACATGAAAGGCAATACGCATGTGATCGCCAAAACTTGGAACATATCATTTCCTATTAAGTCACGGATGTAAGCACTCCCTCTCTGGGGATGGGGACTTCGTTGTTTTGGTAGTCTGAAATTAGGCTCTTGGAAGCCTCTCACCTTCTCTGGCCACATCTCTGAGTACTGCAAATGCTCCACCTTCCTTGAGGGAGGCAGGCAAGGGTTCACCTTTCCAGGAACTCCCTTCATACAGATGAGAGCAATCAGTGGCTGCTGTTGGTGAAGCTTGAATTGCTTGTTAAGTTGGATCCTGGTCAATTTAATTCAAGTAAAGCACGAGCTAGCAGCCACATTCTGACATTGTGCTGAGTCAGATTTCTGTAACTCATTCTCTCCAACTATGAATGTGCACTCCTTCCTGACTTCCTACCTTTCTTCCTTCCTTCCTACCTTCCTACCTTTCTTCCTTCCTTCCTTCCTTCCTTCCTTCCTTCCTTCCTTCCTCCTCGGTGATTATTTATTTGTGCCTATTTACTTATTTGCCCTTTC